AATTTTTTTTTTTTTTTTTTTTTTTTTTTTTTTTTTCATATGTTTCTCTATTATTATAAGTACAATCCTTTTGTATTAACAAATCTTTTTTCTTTTTTTTTTTTTTGATTTCTATTATTTGTTCCTTTTTATATTCTTCATTATATTCATTTTCATAACCTTCCTCTTCAAGTTCCTCATTTTCATCTTCATAATTATCATCTATTTTCTCATTATAATAGCTAAAATTTACCTTTTTCATGCCATTCTCATTTTCTAATACTTTATTTTCTAATAGTATATATTTATTATCAATTTCATCATAATTTGATTCTTCCTTTAATACATAGCTACTTATAAAGGAATATATTGTTAATAAGCTACTGTCATTTTTTTCATTCATCTCTCTATTGCTTTGATGGGAATTTTTTTCGTACTTACTTATATCATTTTTATTAGAATAACTTCTATTATCCATTTCTTTTTTTTCCGCTTAAATGATTATATATTTTTTCCTTTTTTTTTATATTGATGTTTTTCTATAACTTTCTATCATACCATTTAATATTTTTATTTAATAATTTATTTAGTTTTAATCTAATTCTTCTTAATTTTTGATAATTAAAAAAAAAAAAAAAAATAGGAAGGAAATGAACAAAAAAAAGTACAGACTGCAATTATTTTCTACGTAAATAGAACTAATGCACATAAATGCATTTCAAATTTTTATAATAGCATTTTTTTTTTTTAATTTTTGATTACATAAAAAAGTAAAAAATTTAAAAATAACTAATAATTAAAAATAAAAAGAATGTATTGTTTTTGTTTTATTTTCTCATATACTAACATTTACAAATATAGAATTTTTTGTAAATGAAATTTCTGCTAAATAATTATATACGTATATTTTTAAATTGAACCATGTAGAAAATAAAATTATTACAAAAAAAAAAAAAAAAAAATAAAAAAAAACAAAATAAAATAATAAAAATAGGCAAATAAATGAACATATAAAAAGTAGAAAAAAAAAAAAAAAGGTTGCAAGGTTATACAAACATGATAAAAATTATTATACATTTAATAAAATATTAAAATAAAAAATATAATAAAAAGATCTAAATATTTTATATTCTTTTCTCATAGACATATTATTAATTTTTTTATTATTTATAAACATTTAAAATTTTTTTAAATTGGCGAAAATCTAATTATAAGGATATTCAAAAATAATATACTTTATTCAAATATTTTGATAATACATAAGTAAATAAGAACTTTTTTTTTTTAAATATACTTTAGTTCACAATAAAATTACACTAAAAACAATTGAATGTATATATAAAAAAAATGTTTTATAGTGTCTATTTGTTCAAATATTTTTAAACCGAGAGTTCTTAATTTCAAATTATCAAGATGAATATAAAATTTAGAATATAAAAAAAGAAAAAAATAGCAGTATTAAAAAAAGCAAACTTTATTGGGATATAAGTAAAATGTGTTAGATAAAATTGGGAATTAAAAAAAGATAAAATTTTAATGTTAGCAATTACTTTAGAATTATATAAATGCATAAAAATATATATATATATATACAAACATAATATATAAGTATTATAAACAAAATAAAATTTTTTTTTTAATTAAATTCATAAATATATATTAACTAATAAGAACATAAAAATTAAATAATGTAATAATTTCAGTGTAAATTATAAATATTATATATACAAATATACAAATATAAAAATTATAATTTTTATAAAGTATTTATATATAAGCATAGCACTTACAGATTTTCTTTTCAAAAAGAAAAATTAAGTTTTATTTTAAAATCTAATACATATATGTATCACTAAAATAAAATAAAATACTACCTCTGTTATCACTTAAAAATAAAAAATTTAATGTTTATATTTTGAAAATATATATTATCGTTTTTTAGAACTACATTTTTTTTTAACGTTTTTCTATTTTTATAAATAGAATAAAATATATTTCATTTAATATTATAAAATGTTCAATTTTGTTTTATTTTTTAATTATGTATTTTTCAATTTTTTGTTTATTAAAAATATTTTATATTTTAGTTAAGAAAAAAAATATATATGTTTTTATATTATTCTATTATTTTTATTTATTTTATTTTTTTTTTTTAACAATTTAAATTTTTTTCAATCAGAGTCTGTATTTTACAAAACATAATTTTCACATATTATGCAATATACAAATTAATATATATAATTTTTAATATTAATTTTTTTTTTTTTTTTTTTTTTTTTTATTATTAAGGTGTATTAAAAAAGAATATACTTACCATTATATATATACATAATATAATTTTCCATTTTCCTTGTTTTTAATAGTTTTGTATTTTTTTTTTTTTTAAAATTTTGTCTAATAATGTAGTTTTGTAACGTTCGTATATTTTGGTGCAAAAACTTTAACAGAATAATTTTTTTTTATTTGCATAAAAAAAAAAAAAAAAGACATTTTTTATCTTTTTTATATTTTTTTAAACAATCGTAAGTTTTTAATAATATTATAATACATTATTTGAATTAATAAAACAAGAATATTCAGAATTTCTTTTTTATATTTTGAAAAAAAACTATGAAACATGGACGATTTTTCCTTAAATGACGAAGATAACAATTCTAAAACTGGAAATTCAAGTAATTTAGAAATTAATTATGGAAATTATAAAAATTCCGATAGGAAATTGAATGAAAATAAAAAAATATCAGAAAATAAATCTTTCCTAAATAATAAAAAGTAAAAATATATGTATTCATATATATACTTAAATATTAAGAAATTATATATAAATATAAATATAAATATATATATATATATATATATATATATATATATATATATATATATATATATATATAATGTATATTCGTAATTTATAATAAGAAATAGTAAATATAAAACAAATATAAAATATAAGATATAAAATGCATATATATATATATATATATATATATATATAATGTATATTCGTAATTTATAATAAGAAATAGTAAATATAAAACAAATATAAAATATAAGATATAAAATGCATATATATATATATATATATATATATATATAATGTATATTCGTAATTTATAATAAGAAATAGTAAATATAAAACAAATATAAAATATAAGATATAAAATGCATATATATATATATATATATATATATATATAATGTATATTCGTAATTTATAATAAGAAATAGTAAATATAAAACAAATATAAAATATAAGATATAAAATGCATATATATATATATATATATATATATATATCCTAATCTAAAAAAATATTCTTAATGATAAATTTTTTAATTTTTATTAAAATAAATAAAATAT